CGCCAGATCTGACACATCGCGACGTATGCGCCAGTTGCTGTACATGAGTACACATGCGTCAATTAAACTGCTCACTACACATGTTCGAGTTCCAGCAAAGCATGATGCTTGCATCCATCACTGCGCTACGCATTCACCAGTGCTGACATAGCATTACACATGTGCCAATTTTGGCACATCACTGCGCATACTCCAGCTCCAGCATGAGCCAATTCATGCACAGTACTATGCTTGCGCCAGATCCGTCACTCCATTATGCATGTGCCCGTTCCGGAACAGCACTACGCATGCGTTCATCTTGACAAGTTAATACTCATGTGCCAGTGTGCACACCGCACTTACACATGCACAAATCTTGGCGCCTTACTATGCATGCTCCAGTCTTGATACACCACTATGCATGCGCAGGTCTCGACAAGGTTATATGCATGTGCTAGTGTCATAACAGTCCTACACATGCACCAGTCTCAGCACACAACTGTGCATGAGCCTTTTCCGACACCCCACTACGCGTGCACCAGACTTGAGAAAGCATTACGCATGTGCCTTTTTCGAAACAGCAGTACATATGTGCTAGTTTCATCATATCACTACGCTTGCACTTGTCCCTGCATGACATTGCGCATCTGCCTCACGCTATACTCCACTACATATGCACTAGTGTTGTCACAGAAGTACTCATGCGCTTTTCTGGGCATTGTAGCACGCATGTGCAGCTTCCAGCACAGCACTATGCATGCACCTGACTCGGCAATGAACTGCGCATGCACCACTCCCGGCAAGGCATAACTATGCATGCGCTAGACGGTATACGTCACTACACATGTGCCATTTTTGGCACAGTACTACACATGTGCTAGTACAGACATTTGACTACGCATGCGTATTTATGGATACACGATTACGCATGTGCATGTCTATGCACCACAGGACGCATGCGCTTATTCTGTTGTGTTATCACACGTGCTGTTACTGACTCACGCTTTCTACGCATGTGCGTCTGCCAGCATAATTGTATGTATGCGTTTATGTTGTCAATACTCATGTGTGAGCGGGACACAGCACTATGTATGCACTAGTCTGGGCTCATCAGTATGCACGCACCAGTTTCAATGCACATCACTGCAGGATGCATGTGCTATTACCATAGTAGTTTACTATGCATGCACTTGATGTTTTACACAGAGCTATGCATTCAAAGTGCCTGGAGCAGCTGTATGCATGCACTTTATATCTGTAGCAGCACTACGCATGCACCCTTCTGTTATAGCACTACCCATGGTCTTCTCCTATCTCATGACTACGCATGCGCTATTCCCAGCACTTCACTACACATGCTGTGTTCCCTGCTGCTGGCGGGTATCTGATGGTCATGTGCAATGGTGAGCCAATGTAGTTCCACGGAGGGCGCAGGGGCCACTGGGAGCAAAACCATTTTGTTCCCGGGATGGGCACGGCTGCAAAACTCCTCAAGAAAAGAGACAATGGGCATTCTGACTTGGAAGCAAGGAGAATATCGCTGTGTCGGCAGTCCAGTAACTCAGTGTTCGCCTGCATCTCAATGGCTTGTATACACGGGTATCCGCTATACGTTTCAGGGCGCATGCGCACTCTTGCCTGGAGGACTAAGCATAGTAACGATTGGCGGATTAGCTGCGTAGAGCGACGAGAACGTACTTAAGCCATTTCCGCATGGTTGAGGCATCAGAGACGGCCGCAGTTCCGCGGAATGGTCACACGGTGGCAGCAGAGACCGCGGAAACTATTTCTCCGACGGGATTGACGCAAACCTGCGGCACTCCTTGGCGGTCCGTTCTCCTTCACGGGAAAAACACAAAGAGGAAGCGTGGGGGAAAAAAAAGAAAAAAAAAAAAAGGTGATGAAAATCAAGGAAAACTTATCCAAATCCAGGAAACCTGTGCTAAGTGCCAGGGGAAGCGGCATAACCCGCCGCGAAGCAGCGCCCCAGCCACCGTCCATCGCCCGTCGCTGAGCGGGGCGTGTCCTGGGACGATGTGCGCGGCGCGCGACCCTCCTTCCCGGGGAAGAGGCGCGGATAGAAAGCGTGCTGTCCTCAGCCCGTGGGGCCCTCGTGGCCGGCAGAGCCCTCGGCTTCTGAAAGCAAGGGTTGCTGGCAAAGATGCATTGCGAGGGAGTAGTTACTGGATGTTGAGTTTTGCCGGTCGGTCTGTTGCCGCATCATTGTATTTTAGCCGTTTGGCAGTTAGTACCTCTTGAGATAGCTGTTGAATGCTGTAAATCACTAAAATCTGCATTTTATTTGGCCTTGTGCATGATGTGTAAGAAGTGTTCTTTCTAAATCAATTTCTAATTCATCCAAGTTGGGATATGTTTTTCCTTGGACAACTTGCATCCACCTACTTTGTGCCTGTTTGTGCAGTATCAAAATACATCTGAGTGCCTTTTATTTGAACCACAGATTCTTTCCTCTTCATATACTTAAACATCCAGCTTACTGGAATATCAATAAGTACTTCACACCTTCTATTAAAATTCATCCATAAATAAGGAATTTTGTTAAGATCATGTGACAAGCAGAAAGGTAGGGTGACATCAGATGACTACACGTATTAGTTTAATGCAAATTAAGTGATGTAAGATGTGCATGTGGTCTTGTAGTTTGTTTTGCAGCTGAACTTTTTTATCATTATATATGGTTTTTTTTTTTTTTTTTTTGTCTAGTATATGAACATTGTGTATCATAAGGATTAATTTCTTAATTAAATTCAGAAATCATATTTGGATGAACTTCAGATATAATTTCTTCTGGAAGCCTAAGTTAAAGTTAAGAAATATAGGTAGCAGCAGAACTATGTTTTTCTTTTGTTGTCTCCATTTGTGTTGTGATTTGTGAGCAATCTCCTGAAGGATTTCAACATTTTAAGTTTCAAGATAGGTGACTTCAGTTAAAAATAATAATAATAATAATAATAAATTTTTAAAAAGCATATTCTGTCTTTACATCTTCTTCTTCCATATAGTGAAAGTGCTAAGTCACAGACTGAAACAGTGATTGAGCACCTGGTGGGAAGGCAGGGCCAGCCCGGGTGAGCTCAGGTGTATGCAATGCAATGGACTGAGGGACCAGAAGAAGTGGATCCCTCACTTAAGGGTTGGCAGTGGAGATGAGGGTATCTCATTTTTGCTTCTGTTTCATGCGCTGGCCACACAGGTACAGAGTGCAAGTGGAACAAACCCTGCAGACTTAAGGAGAATTGAAGTAGGAGAGCAGTTGCAGAGGGGTAGAGAGGAGACATGCACTCTGAAGCAGGGGAGGCCTTGCTGGCTCTGCCTATTGCATCCACTGCTGGTATGTTCCTTCTCCTTTTCAGTGGTTTGCTGTCTCTAAAGGGTCGGTAAGTTGTAGTGCAGTTGCTTGGCCTGCTTGCCGCTTACTGGGATTATCTAAAATGGATTACTTTTGTGTGTGTGAGGGTGTGTGTACTGAATAGCACTCATAAACCTCTGTGCTGCTCTGAGTGCATAGTTTGTTTGTCTCTCTTCCTGAGACATCCTGTCTCTCAGATCCAACACTTGGCCCAGACCTCAACTCCCATAGGAGCTGTAAAGATTACTGTATTAATACCCAGTGTAACTCTAATCCTAACCTTTACCCTGACACTAAAATAATATTTAACTCCAAGTGTAACAATAAAAATCATGCTAAAAGTTTACAGTAAAAGTAACCTTAACCCTAATCATAATTCAAAAAACAATCATTAACATAACCGTAATCTTAACCCTAAAAGTAATATTAATCACAGCCCTAATGACCCTAACAGTAATTCTAATAAGCCTTACCCTAAAAAATCCCTGAAAATTATCCAGAAAAGTCACTGTAGAAATAACACTGGTAGTAATTGCAATCCTAAGGGTAACTCTAACCTCAGTGCTAATGTAATGCTAATCATAATCGTAATGTAGAGTTAGGGTAGTGTAAAAGAAGTGCTACCCTGTGCATGCTGCACAGTCCCTTCAGTATTGTATTGCCTATTAAATGCAGGTGGCACTGGAGAAGCACGTTGCTCCCGGGCGGCAGAAGGACCGCAAGAACAGTTTTCCGTCTTGCCTTGAAAACAGCAGGAAGGCTGAATTTCCTAGAATGCCCTGAATCTCAACTTTGCTGCCTGCTAGTAGCTCAGATAGGTAACAGCAAAACATAAACTCAAGTGCACATTCATTATGTAGTGTGGCATGCTCTGCTTTCCCCAGAGCTCATTACTTTATGGTATCCCACTGGCTTGGCATAGATTTGTCCATTGCACTACCCTTGCTTTCCCCGATTGTTCTCCTTGCTTTGGCCTATTTTTTATCTTCCTTAATGTTTCTCAAACGTTGCTCGTCAGGATTTCAGTATTCATGAAGAAAATACTGCCTACAGGAGGGCTATCCAGTCGGGCTGTAATGCATCTCCTCATGCCTTTGATCTCTCACTGGGATACGGGAGCATAGAAGCAGATTGTAGGGCGGGTCAGACTGGGAGGGAGGCAATTCCCTTGGTGGAGTCTGAGAGGTGGGGCCAGAGCCCAAACCTGAGTAAAGCAAAGGCCGCCGGGGTTTGCAGGTCTTCGCTGGGGTTCCATTCATACAACGCCAGCTCCCTTTGCGGCCGGCGCTAGAGACCCGCGGGCTCTAGGACCTGGGCTCGGCAGCCTGCGCCATGGTGCGCGGCGGAAAGGCCCTGGGCTGCCGAGCGCCACACCGCCGCGCGGCCTCCGCCCCTGGTCTCCGTGGCCGCGCGCTCGCCTGGCCCGCCCGAGCAGGGAGCGCTGGGGCGCCGCGGCGCAAGTTTGTCCTGATGCCGTTGTCAGATGCGCAGGGCAACTTCACCGCCAGTTGCTGCTGGTGCCCGGCGCCTCTCAGAGTCCTCTGGTAACTACCTGTCAGCGGCTGCCATTCCGGTAGCGCGGGCTGTGGGCGGGCCGCGGGCGCGGCGCGGCCGGGCGACCCTGTGATGGAGCTGCCTGAGGGCGGCCAGGCAGGCGGGTGACGGCAGTTCTTGCCCGAAAGGAGCAGACGAGCTGCGCGTGCTCACTGCTAATCGGCAGCGGCCTTCCCGACTTGGTGTTGACCCTGAAGCGTGAGACGAGAGAAAAAGTGGCTTCGGGTATGGGTTTAAAATAAACCAACAAAGAGAAGATCTAACCCGAATGAGGTCTGTGGGTGAACTGGAGAGGCTTTGATTAAGCTGTGCTTCCAACTGATAACATGAATATGTGTATATATATACAAAATATATTCAGTTGCGTACATATTCTCAGAGGCATAAGAAATGCTTGCCTGCAGGAAAAGAGAGTCTTTTTATTTTTCTTTACATATTGCAAAAGTATCGTTTGAAATGCATAGATGACTTTTTCCATTTGGAAAATTTAGGATGTTTTTAAAATGAATATATTTCATTGTTTTCTTAAAATCAATGTTTTCTTAAAAATGGAGTTTATTATGTGAATTTTCCAATGCATTTGAGAAGATAATTACTTTTGTTCTACTTATGTAAGATAATGTGTTCTTTGTTTTTTTTTTCCCCCCCAGAAGAAAATACAGTTTAGTGGTCTTTTATTTTTCCCTTCCATAAGCTACACACTTTGTTTATTAGCCTTCTTAAAAAAATGAATCAAAGCTTACCCCTGTGTTGAAATTTAATTATCTATTTAAAAAACAAGCATCATGGATTAGGATTTCTTTGATTTACTGGGTTTTGTTTGGATCTGCATCCCTTATTGCATCAGCTGTGCAATTGCAAAAGCACTTTTTTTTTTTTTTTTTTTTTTCCTAAAAGAGCTTTCTGGTCTGGAATACTAAACTCTCTGTCAGCTACAGAGAATGTGCCTTTCTGTTTGGTGTTGAAAGTGAAGGCTACACTTCAGAGGATGTTATTATAGTACTTCTCTTTCCTTACTTCTAAGTAGAAATTTTAATATTTATTTATTAAGGGCCTGGAGCATCTCCCATATTCATTTCTAAGAGTCTGTGATAACTTCCAAAGTATATTCCCTGTCTGCAAGATGCTGAGAATCTCTGCTAGTCAGAATTTTGTTAGGAAGACTTGTTTCACATGGCCTTAATAAAAATAATGAGGAGTCTTTATTTTAAGAGAAGTATAGCACAATTTGAAGTTGCTGAGACTACAGGTATCACGAATCTGGTGAATTAAGCCCTTTATTGGTCTTTATGTAAATCATACAAAATGGAATGCTATTACAAAGGTAGAATTAGATTAAGGAAACTATGGAAATTAAACAGGAAGTAATGAGTTTTTTTGATGTTTAAGATTTATTATACTTTGAGTCAAAAAATCATTGAAGTGATGGCATAATACAGAAATCTGATGTGCTGATTTTTTTCATTCAGAGCGTCTGTGTTTGGATTCTATCCTAGCTGGAATTTTTAAGTGCTGTTGAATTTCATGCACGTTTCACAGACTCAGGCTTTCAGGGGACTACTTTGAAAGGTATTGATTAACAAAAAAAAAAACTAGTTTGAAGAGTTAAAGTGAGAATCTTCCATAGTGTTGTAATTTCTAGAGTCTATGCAGAGGCAAGATTCCTTTCTATTCTGTTTAAAACAGAGGTGATTGTGTTTAAAATGTTGATATTTTCATTTTAGGATGACAGGGAGGTACCACAGAGCAAATATTTGAGTGAATGCATACGTTCATTTTAACTATTTTATATGTGTTGTGCAGAAGGAAAGAGGAATAGGGTAAATGACAACTTCTTTGCAGTGAAAGTAAAATAATTTAAGTAATGTTGTGTGTCATTATTTCTATAGAAGTACATTCTTCTGGAGCACGAGATGTGAAATCTTGTTTATGGCAAACTTGTAAAGCAATGGAGATACTCAGGAAGAAGGAAAATTGTGGTTTAGTGCAAAATGTTGAGTAGGGTTGATGTTATTTTTTAAGTACAGAGTTTTGTTTCTCTAGTATAGAAGCTACCTTGAAGCTGTTTTACTGGCAGTGTATATTCTTGTTCATTAGGATGCTTTGATATACCAGCAGTCAGCCTTGAGTTTCAAGTGTTATTTGGTGAAAATTAATTTCTGTTGGCATGTAGAATATATAAATACTGGTTTGCAATAAACCTGTTTGTGGTTACTGGTTGGATTTGTGTTATGAAATTTAAGTTATGATGTAACTAACTTCTGTACATGTAGTCTGCAAAAAAATTAAGGTATTCTTTACAAGGCATTATTTTATAAGGCTAAAAACAATTTTTTCCATTGACTTCTAAGACTGGAAGATCTTCTTTCCCATACACAGGAGATAATCCTTCAATAACAAAAGCAGCATTTAGTGATACTTTAGTTAACAACTAAATGCAAAGCATTATTTACAGTACTTAGCCATTTATCTTCCTGTAATGTCTTGCTTGTAGACATAAGTTTTAATTTTTAAAAAGAAAGTTGTAGCCACTAAAGTGCAGATTCTTGCTGGCTTTGAAGATTAGTTTGGGTGGTGACTCTCCTGTCCAAACATGAATAGTAAAATCAGAATAGTGTATCTAATGAGGTGAGATTATTTCCTAAGTTGGTAAATATTATTATTTTAAATTTGATGTCATTATTTCTGTCTGAAAGAACTATGACATGCTACCATTATCTACATATATGAAGGAAAAAGCAGTGTGCAGGAGAAAGCATGAAGAGATGTTACTCCAGAAGTATCCCACACAGGGAATTCTTACTCTTTTTTGGCCCTGGAGTAAAATGAAAACAATTATTTAAATTTTGTTCATTGAGCATCATATTCATATCGTATCACTTAGACGCAGTCGTTGGATGCCTGCAGCTTACGATTCTTCCTCTGACTTTCAGACATTGGGTATTACTTGGGGACAGCGATATGCTTCTTTATAACAGCAGACATTTCTATGTGAGAGGCTGAGCGAATAGATAAAGCTTCTCCTGTGTGGACCTGAGAGCACCTGCCGAACTGCCAGTGCTTGGCCGACAGCAGGGCCCGTGTTTCTCGCACCGCACCTCTCGCTGCGAAGGGCGGGCCGCTCGCCTCCGATTAGGACTACAGCTCCCGGCGGTCTTCGCGGCGGCGCGACCAGCAGCGCGGAGTCCGAGCAGCTCGCGCAGCATAGCGGGCGCGCGCGAGAGGCGCCTGTGCGTCCGGGCAGCGGGATGTGTGAGAGGAGCTCTCGTCGTCTCTCTCGGGCGAGACGCGACGCTGGAGCGGTGAGGTCCCGGCCTCGCCGCCTGCATGGAGCTGAGCAGCGCAGAGGCGGTGTCCACCCGGTTCCTCGGCCTTACTCAGCGGTACTGGAGCCAAAGAGGCGGCTCGGGCGGGGCGCGGGGTTCCGAGGGCCCGCGCTGCCGATGACGGAGAGGCGGTGTTGTGTTCGTACTGTGCGGGGGGCCTGGGGATGGGGGCTGACGGGCTTTCGAGGAATAGTGCTGCAGGCTCCCGGCCGGCACTCAGCGGAGCGCTGCGAGCCGCGGGACTCGGCCACTTCCTCTGGGGTTGCTGCTGGTGGCGTGAGCGGAGCCGGACGGGGCGCCCGCGGGCCAGTTATTTCGCGTTCTTATGTCTGTGCCCGCCTCTTCAATGAAAATGGATTAACCAATACGATATGTCGAAGGGCTGGGAGGTAAAGACGTGTAAGTAAGGAGACAGGAGAGTCAAAGAGGGCATGCAAGCTGTGACTTTGTTATCAAGTAGTTGTAACATGCAAGCTCACCTTTTTCTGTCGCATCTCCTCCCCCCAAACCTCCTCCATGTAAAGTGCTTTCAGGTGTCAAAGTCCTAAGATGCAAGGCACTTGATGCTTGAGTGGTAAAAATACACGCCTTTTAAGTGTGGGTTACAGAATATATGAAAACTTGCTTTGCCATTTGGCTTTCAGACTGTTAAAGCTTGTAGGAGTTTCTGATGAAATGAGGGGAAAGCTTGTCCTCTTTCCTCTTCCTCATCTGTTAGGATACAAAACCTTTGTTTATAAACAAGTGAGAGAGGGAAATAGAGTTTGCTGTATGCACTGCACAAATGTGTTTAAACTGTTTTGTTTGATTTCTTGTTTCTCATATATATTAAAACGCATGGCGATATAAGTAAACTAACTTATTAAGGCAAATAAGTCTGAGCCACAGGGAAGCTAGCATATATTTCAGTGCTGGCTGTATTTGCCCTAATACAACAATAGCTATATTTGAAACTGGCATAACTGGAACAAAGTAATTTTCTAGCATAGATCAGGTCGAGACAGAGGAAGGATGTCATCTATACTGAAGAAAATTAGTAGGAAAAGCTAATAGTAACTACAGCATATTTTTTAAATGAGATGATATGAGAAGTCGGAGAGTTGATGAGAAAAATCTCTAGTAACCAAGAATGGAAAGCTGAAGAACGTGCACACTGGAATTCACTGTGGAATGTGTGCAGTTATGCAAATAACATGATAATCTATATTTTGTCTTTTCATAAATTAAGGTGCTTAGCTTTGCCAAGGTTGTCTATTTAGCATTTATGTTAGTGCAAGATTCTGCTTCTAATTGCTTAATATGAAGTATGGTAGGAAGCAGTTGGGTTGATGAGTACCAAAGACTACCTTTCAAGTATAATTCTGATGTGAAAAGGATAGTGTGTGAAAGTTATACATGTTTTAGCCATTTTGAATCAGGATGCAGAAGGGTACAACTATTATTGCAAAAGCACTGATGGATAACTGTTACTGACTTGCATGACAATGTATGTGGTGGTGAGCATGAAGAGTTCTTTTTGATCCTGTCTGAAAGCTGTTTGAAAAAAAGTGCATCTTTTGTTTCCTCAGACTGTTACAGAATTTATTTGCAACCCTTAAAATAAGTATATTGAGCAAACAGGAGTTGAATGCACCCTTAGTTAGTTAGTTAGTTAGTGATGATATTAAACTGAAAGGTGCTGTTTACTCCCTAGAAGTATGGGAGGCCTTCTTGGGTTCTAGGTATGTTGGAGCATTGGCAATCAGCACTGGCACGATATTCAACAAAGATAAATGCTGGGTGAAGTAATGCCAGTCGCAGACTGGGAAATGGGTGGCTAGAGAGCAGCTCTGCAAAAGAGATCTGGGGTTGCTGATTGTCAGTGGGCACAACATGAGTCAGTGGTGTACACTGGGAGCCAAAAGAGCAAACTGCATTTTAAGATTAAATGCAGCAGAGACAGCTGGT